GCAATCATGAAACTATTGTATTTTTTTAAATGAAGTATGTTTCTGTTTAAAATCTTGTAAACCTTGTTTTTCGTCCAGGTTTCCTTAGAAGAAAAATATTTTGTTGCCATAGTAAATCTCATCCTCAAGTAATTCTTCCTTTTTTTCAGGTTTGCTTCGAGCTCCCAGCTATGCAGCAATAAAACCGTCCACACAGAGATGGAAAAGACCTATTTGGTCATCTAGGGCGTCTCTTTCCCTCACTGAGGGTTGCTCAGGATTCTTCCCTAAGGCATCTTCTCCAATGCTTTGTACAAATTTACAATAATTCAAGAAATAGTACATCCCTGGCTTCCTTTAAAAGAAGAGGCCACAAATTTTCATCTTTGCAATTAAGCTTAACTTCCCCCCTGAAATTCCTTCTTTTCTCATCAGGCTCAACTCTACCCTGGGGGGTCTCTCACACAGTCTGTCTTTGCTTGGCATCTTTGGCTCTTTTAAATGGCCTTTGGTGGCTTGTTTAAGGCATTTAGCTCCAGCATTTTCACCACTACAAACATTCACTCCTAAATTCCTCTGCATTTCCATAGCATCTTGGCATTTCTTCTGTCGTATTAGTTCTGGAAAGAAGGAAGAAAAAAAAAGACATTTTGCTCCCACTGCCTCAGTTAGTGCAGTCATGTACAGGCACAAGGCTCTTTCCTTGGGACATCATTAGATTTTCTTCTTGGGATCCCCAAGGTTCTTAATATTTCTAATCTTTCTTTTCCAAGTTGGGAAATAGTAGTCATTCACTCAATGGATATTCCTTGACTGACAAACGTGTTCTAAACAATGTCTGGAGGCCAGAGGCAGAACATGCACAGGAAACACAAAGTGCCTGCCCTCAGGAAGCTAACGGTCTAGGAGAGGAACGAGACCACAAGCATGGAGTCACAGATTGCAGGCCCAGTGCACTTGTGAAGCAAGGGGAACGTGGCACAGGGCCAAAGTGGCAGGGGCTGCGTCAGAGAGCGAGATGAGGGAAGGTCTCTGTGAGGAGACCATGTTTGAACAGAGACCTGCATAAAACAAAGATTCAGACTGAGAAATATGAGGAAAACATAATACAGCACTTAGCAGACTTGGGGCCCTTTGTAGCTGTACTGCAGTTTTCCTGATGGATAAAGAGAAACTCACTAGAATTCCTCATTTTGTTTTCTAAGAGTTCACTTCCCCACAGTACGGCAGGGCCCTCTATCCGCAGTTTCACTTTTCGTGGTTTCAGTTACCTGCAGGCAACCAAGGTCCCAAAATACTGAATGGAAAGTTCCAGAAATAAACAATTCATAAGCTTTAAATCATGCGATTCTGACCAGTGCAATGCAATCTCGCACCGTCCCATCTGTCCTGCCCTGGACGTGAACCCTCTCTCTGCCCAGCAGCTCTACACTGTAGATGCCACCAGCCCATCAGTCACCTAGTGGCCACCTCGGTTATCAGATCAACTGTGGCGGTATCACTTGTGTTCAGGTCACCCCCATTGTACTTAATAATGGCCCCAAAGCACAAGAGTAGGGATGCTGGCAAATTGTAATTGTTTTATTTTATTATTGTTGTGAATCTCTTACTGTGCCTAATTTATAAATTAAACTTTATTATAGATCTATACATAGGGGGGAAAGATAGCATATATAGGGCTGGGTATTATCTGCAGTTTCAGGCATTCACTGGGGGTCTTGGGACTTACCTCCTCTGATCGGGTGGGGAGGCTACTGCAGTGCCACCTCTCTTCTCAAATGCAACAAAACGCTTCCTTCACTGTAATGAACATTGAGTGCCGGTCACTACAGAACACGACTGTTCTCAGAGGGGTTAGACACCATTCAACCTCATCCACCAGACTAAGAATCAAGGAATAGGCAGTCTGGAAGGGAATCTTACAAGTCATTGCTGGCAGCAGAGTCTTGGTTGTGTGTCATGACTAAAAACTCAGTGGCCTGCCACAGCAGTTTAATGTCTCTCTCCATTTTATGGGCTGAGGGGCCCAGCTGGCATTCTGCCACACTCACCCAGGGATCTCAGGTGGTCTGGTGTCCTCTGAGGCCCGATGAGGCTGGAAAGTCCAAGACAGTGTCTCCACTGACATGCCCAGCAGCTCAGAGCTCCTCCCCAGGCCTCTCTCTCCATGTAGCCCCGCATCCTCCATGGCCCGTTCATGGGGCCTTCCTCTCCAGCAGGACAGCCACATTTCCTATTTGCCTACCGGCTTCCAAGACCACAGAAGCAGAGGCCGCCAGGCCTTCTGAAGCTCAGGCAGCCGTGCTGTTCCCACATTCCAGTGGGTAAATCGAGGCACGGGGTCAGCCTACATGATGGTGGAGAGAGCTGCACAGTGGTGTTAAAATAGAGACGGAGTTCACTGGGGGCCATCTCTGTAGACAAGTTGCCACCTACAAAAACTTGTGATTTGCCTGAGTCACCCATGTAGTCAGTGGCTGAACGAGTACTCAAACTACCTGCTCTCTTTATTCTGTTTTCTTTTATCACCTGAGCTGAGCCAAAGCCCTTACTTAAGTCCAAAGTAATACTCATGTGAAGCTCAGTGACACAAATGCCATTAACTCCCTGCCCCTCCCAGCTGGTCCCTCCTTCTCTCCAGCCAGAGCTCCCCTGCAATGTGCCATGTGTTCCCCTCAGTTACAGTGCACATGTATCAGGCCCCAAAGCACTGATTTAACCGGGTTTATGGCTCTGAGTTAAGCTATAGACACAACCACCAGTTTTTCAAAGAGCTATCATTAAAATACATTTTCCAAAATTTGTAGATAAGGCAACGGGGAGGAATCGGGTGTCCTTGATGGGCATAGCTTAATAGGCCTGCCCAAAGATTATTAAATTATCTAGGAGGAGAGACCCGTGTTTGACTTGGCTGTCTAGTAATTAGAGTCTGTGAAGTTTCATAACTCAAGATTCCTGTCCAGAGAAACACAAATGATTTCTGTCTGGTACATAAAATAACCCCAAAGGTTTTGGATCTATTTTTCCTGTAGACATCAAAAGCATTTTGCATCTTGCCTAGAAATTTATTCTAATATATATTTTTAAATGCTTATAAATACAGATGCTCCTCAACTTACGAGGGGTTATGCCCTGATAAACCCATTGTAAATTGAAATTGTCATAAGTCAAAAGTGCATTTAATACTCCTAACCTACCAAACATCATAGCTTAGCCCAGCCTGCCTTAAACATGCTCAGATCACTTACATCAGGCTACAATTGAGCAAAATTATCTAACACAAACCTATTTTGCAATAAAGTGTTCAGTATCTCATGTAATTTATTGAATAGTGTACTGAAAGTGAAAAACAGAATGTCTGTATGCGGACTCGAAGGATGGACGTTACCAAATGCAGATTGCTTTTGCAACATCGTAAAGTTGAAAAATTCAAACTCCAAACGTTGTAAGTCGAGAACCATCTGTACGCAGTTCCTCAAATCCTCTTTGAGCCTGCCTCACCATCTTGCTGACTGCCTCATTAATGAATTGAATAAATTCCTGACACATGTTCATTCTGTATTTCTATCCGAGTTAGGTTTGCGACTTTCTCAGAATTATACTTTGACACTGCAAAGGCTCCAGTGGAACTTTCTGCGGGCTGGAAGCTGAGGGCGGCTGTGGCTGACAGGCCCTGCGCCTTCACTATCATCCGTGCAGGGTTGGTTAAGTCAGCCCTCAGAGCTGAACGTCTACTCTGGCAGCAAATTTCACCAGAATTATTCATGCAGCTTCACTTCAAAGTGCTCACGGCTCTTGCTCTGGGCTTCAAGCAGCTCAAGAAGAAAAACGTTAAGCACAAATTCAGACAAGATTTTACCATCTACTGAACGTCTACTCTGGCAGCAAATTTCACCAGAATTATTCATGCAGCTTCACTTCAAAGTGGTCACGGCTCTTGCTCTGGGCTTCAAGCAGCTCAAGAAGAAAAACGTTAAGCACAAATTCAGACAAGATTTTACCATCTGGAAAGAGGTGGTAGCAGGGTATGCAAAAGGGAAGAAATGGCCGGCAGAACTTTCTGGAGAACGACCACCATCTCTGTAATTCAGTCCTGGATTGTTGGCCTTTGATGGGAGCAGTTAGCGAGTAGGTGCACCCTGCCACAATGTACCACAGTGCGTGCAAGATCTCTGCAGGAAAGGCTCCTCTGTGGCTCTGCTTGGTGGCTGTGCCAGGTTCTCAAGAAGTAAACAGGAAGCCGGCGTTCTGCCCCACCACGTTATTGAGTCTTCCTTTCCTCCTATTCCTCACAAACTCATAAGCAGACAAAATTTCATGCCACTGATATGGGAGTACGAGAAATAGGACCTGCTCTATTTCTCTTTACCTGAGCTTCACTCTGAGCCCCTGTTGTGCTGGCCGGTGGTAGGATCAGCAGGTTCAGTGCAGAGCCAGGAGCTTCTGGAGGTGCAGGTGCAGGCACAGTCGAGGACGTGAGCCTGCCAGGGTGCCTGCATGGCCGGTGCCCGACCTGGCCTGCCCGCTCTGGCATGGGGGGCACTGAGAGCAGCTGCTGCCCCCCTGTCCCTCAAGCCCAGCTCGGTTCCACCCCAGGTCTGATTACCACGCAGCAGACCTCCATGGCCTTTGCACCCCACAGCAGGTTGTCTTCTGTTCTCCTGCCTTTTGGGGACTCTCTGAAGCTAGATGCTTTCGACCTTCTCTGTCTGGATGCCCCACACAGCCATGGGTACTCTGTGTCTCTCCCAGCATAAGAAAAAGTATCCACCACTTAGAAATAAGACAAATCACGGCAGGGTGTTCTTTAAAGTTCATGGTGGAGCATCACCTAACACGGCCTCTGCTGGGTCCCCTGGTGCTGTAGGGCAGTGTTTCTCAACTGTTTTTTCATTATTACACCCCCTCAAAAGAAAAATTGAATTACATTCCAATTTAATTTTATTTAAGCTAATTAATTTAATTAATAATCAATTGGCTGATTGTAAGCCGATGTTCACAGAAGCATGTACTTATTTTGGTGGCCAGTACGGGGATTGAGCCCTGGACCTCGGCGTTACCAGCAGCACGCTCTAACCAACTGAGCTAACTGGCCAGCCCGTTTTGTTTTTCCACAGCAAGATTATTTACAATAGCTGAAACATGGAAGCAGCCCGAGTGCCCTTGGAGGGACGAATGGACAAGCAAAATGTGGTACATCCATACAACAGAATATTATGCCGCCTTAAAAAGGAAGGAAATTCTGATACATGCTACAACAGGGAGCCTTGGGGACATTTTGCTAAGTGAAATAAGTCACAAAAGGACAGATAATGGGTAATGGCTGTATGATAATGTGAATGTATTTAATACTACTGAACTGTACACTTAAAAATAATTAATATCGTAAATTTTCTGTTATATGTATTGTACCACAATTTAAAAACTGGAAAAACAAGCCCTTTAAAGTAAAAAAAAAAAAAATAAAGAAATGGATTGGTTGATTAATTGGTTTAATTTACCTCTGATATGTATTGTACCACAATTTAAAAACTGGAAAAACAAGCCCTTTAAAGTAAAAAAAAAAAATAAAGAAATGGATTGGTTGATTAATTGGTTTAATTTACCTCTACTAAGAGAAAGTAAAGAGTCAGGAATGGGATTTTTCAGGTGGAGCTGAGCTTTGGAGGGACACAACCATTATAATAACAAAAATTTTTTCTCACCCACCAAGAACCAGTTTCTATCTTCTCAGGGCCAACCTCACCCCTCAACTGAGAGTTCATAGTCTAGGGGAAGGCGGCCTTGTTTGACTCACTGCTGACTATTAACTAAGGCCCAGACTCATCTTACAGAAAATCATTAGGTGGCTAATTACTTTTGGTCAGCAAACTTGCAAGTTGTTTCGATTGAAAAGATAATCCCATAATGCGTGGTCGTATTGCCTGTAAGAGTACATTTATCAGTCACAAATCACTCTTGTATTCCTTTTGAACTAGCTTTACCATCCAGCTGATTTCCTCATTCATGTTAAAATTAATTTTTGTCACATGCTCACTGTATAGTTACATGACAGTCATATTTTTAACTTGTTAAAAATTAAACTCTGACATTTGCCATTTTGAGGAACTAGAAACGACCGACAGGGAGGATAGCTGAAGTCCTCTGTGCCCTCCCGGGACTCAGCTGGGGCAGGGGCAGGGGCAGGGCTTCTGGACCCTCTGGGGGAGCCCACGAACGCCTAACTCTGCTCGCCCTCTCTCTCACATTCCCCGATCGTGCATCCCTGAGAATCTTTATCTTTTCTTGGGGAGTTGGGGATATAGAGAATAATTGACTTTCGTTGGAAAAAAAATTCTTCCAAGAGTCTTTCAGGGCTCAAAAGTCCAGGTTCTTAGAAATCAAAATAAGCTTTTAAATCTCAAAAGCCAAGAAATTGACTGTTTCGTTCCTCCTTCCGTTTGTAATAACCTGTATCCAAGGTAAGATGCCTTGAGGTCCAGTTTGAAGAGGAAAAAGCCAGCAGGTAAAAAGGAATTGCCCTGGAGAGGACAATTCAATACACATATAAAGATAAAATCATGCTGCACGTAGTTTAACTCTGAAAGTTGCCGCTGCGTGACTTGCTGTAGGCCATTCACAGATTGTTAAAGAGAGCCTGGGCAGGAGACGTGACAGAGGGGTGCACCTCGGGAAACCCAGAACTGTCACCATCGGATGCACAAATCAGAGAATCCGTTCCCCTGGTCAGCCTTTCTTTTTCTAATCTGTATTCAGATGTGAGCACTGGGGAGTAGACAAGACGTGTGCATCTCACCCTGGCTCAGTAGCCTCTCTGGGTTCACTCGCCAGCAGTGGGTGGGCAACATGGATTGTTTGTCAGAGATGTCTACACCTTGTTTACCCCTCAGAAGACGAACACTGTAGCGAGCCCATCTGTAACGTCTCTGAGCCTGTCCTTGCCAGCCACAGCGCTCCTGCCCTCTGCCTTTGCCCCCCCCCACCTCCCGATGATACCCGTGGGTCATCTCCATCCTTCTCCACGGAAACTTGTCCTCATAACAGCGTTGTGCTTTCTACCCCTCGATGAGAATCCGAGTCAGTGCATCACCTTTTCCAGTGTTCATTGTTTTTCTTATCCAGCCTCTAACAGTGAAAGCTGTCGAAGCCAGTGCAGAGCACTTCAAACGTCAGGGGATGCGTCAGGATGTTCAGGTGGTGGCTGGTGGCTAAATAGAGCTGGCCACGTGGTCTACCCCAGAACGTGGTCAACTGGAAGTGGTGGAGGGAAAGAGGGACACTCAAAGGACATGCTGATGTGTGCAGAGTCGCTGTTCTGGGTGAGCACTTCCAACTGTCACTTGGAGTTCCAATGGAAATCCCAGGTCTGGAAACTCCTCTGGCACTGGAAGAAAAAGCATTGCAAGTATGGAGGGCGTGGCAAGCTCTTTGGTGCCCAAGTGTGCTAATGAGACCTTCCAGTCCTATACATACGCATCTCCTTTCCTCCCTCAGGAGAAGGAAAACCATGAAAGCCCTCACAAGCACATGGGCTTGCAAGGTTTCCTCCCAAGTAAGGCAGAGAAGCATTTGCTATGCAAGGAGGTAAAGTATCCTCCTTATTAAAATAGTAGTAATAACCACCTTCTATCCCCTTCACGCAGAGCGTACAGTGGTCTCGCTGTCTCAGTAAGCAATAAACAGATAATTAAATATAGTGCAATCTGTTGGTTCGTCATGTCCTACTCTGTATCCTGGGTGAGTCCCACAGCTTGGATTTATGGCAAAGTCAGGGAGAAATATCAGAGTCTAGGTTACTCTACACCCTTACAAGGAATACCGGCAGAGTTAGGGTGAGCATCCCCTTTTCCAGGTTCAGCAGGTACGTAGAGAAAACCAGACAACACAACATGGATAAACAGTGACATAACTAATTATCTCCTCTGGCTCCAGCCAAAGCCATTGGCAGAAGCTATGAGTCAGCATCTTCCAGACCTCACTCCAGAGTCTTAATACTCAAACGGTCCCTGCACCAGCAGCGTCTGCTTTCTGCTTGTCTCACTCCCGTGGACAAAAATGCAAACATTTCACAGTCCTGCATATTTTTCCTCTTCATTCTCTCTCTCTCCCATCCCTTCTCCCTTTCTCCTCTCTCCTCTTTCTCTCCCTCTCCATGAAGTCTACATCTTCTCAAGGTGAGGCTCACTAACAGCACTTTCCTAAATTGTGTTAAAATAGGTGGTTTTATTTCCACTAACTTTATGTCATTCTCCTGTAGCACCAACACTTCCTATTCAACATTTCCCCACGTGTGTTCTACCTGCTCTGTTAACAGTAGTTTAGATGCTACTTTTTCAGTGCACCTTCCATGACAAGTCACTCCTGTCTACTCCCAGGTGGGAGCTCAAGAGAAATGAAGAACACCAGTGCTGGAGAGCTTATTCTACACCTCCCCGCACACAGAGCAGTTTCAATTTTGCGTTTGGTGAGTGTCCTTCTACTCCCCTCCATACGTTACCCGATATGTGATGATCGGGAGGGTATCCAAATCCCAGAAAGACATGGATGGGCACAAATCATAGCCACACATTCATGATAATTGCACTTAGAACTGGATTCCTTATTGCCCACCCTTACATTTGGACCCAGTTCTCAATAATATTGGGTTAAGTCCCAATCAGCCTAGTACATGACTCGTGTAACATG